CATGAGAGAAGAGACCTCCCAGGTGTGACCTGAAGCAGTCTTGGGAGATTCGATTTCATCCCATCCTGGGATTCACATGAGGTGCCAGATCAAAGAGGCAGAGACTGTGGGAAGATTCTTGGGGTGGACTAATGAGGTTCTAACGATGAAGAGTTCAGCCTGGAAGGGAGGGAGCAGGCAGCCCCCGAAGAGTAGATAGGGAAGAGAATACGGTGAAGTCATTTGAAAGGTGATTCCAGCCAGCAGGTGGGTCCAGCTAGGGAAGGAGGACTGGACAGGCCAACGGACACTAGTCAGGCCGGCCATACTTTGTTAAGTTATGGGACAATGTGTGGTTTATGACACTCATTAAGTCCTGACCTGAAAGATAAGTTATCCGGTTAGATACATAAATATGCTGATCCTTTCTTATGAATGGACATACCTCCATGAGTACACGTGTGTACACATTGCACAGAAGCCACCTGTTCCTACTGATGAGGCCCCGTCCCTCTTCTTCCAGTAATGTATGGACACATACAACGGCAGTGGCAACATATTTTCCCTGCCACCTGTGCCATCACTTGTCTTTCTTTTGCTTGCTCCCAAACGATTGTTCTCCATCTCTGAAGGCATAGCCATCACAGTGTATATTTGAACAGAGTTTCAAACTTTTCAGAGTATTTTAAATCTATTATTTGGCTTATCAGCACAAAATCTTAATGAGACTGAGGTGGGGGGTGGAACTGGCAGCTGCCCAGAGCCCTGGCCCATTTCAGAGTCACCCAAAGCTGCAGAGGACAGCTCTTGCACAGGGCTGCCTTGCCCACTGTGAGGCCCCAGCCACTTTCCCTGCAGGGCAGCTTCTCTGGGCTCAGGGGACTTGCGCAGCCACTCTCAAGGCAGCTTGGAAATGGCTGGAATTGGCATGCAAGGCCATGCGTGACAAGACTCTGGATAAAAGACCCTGTGTCCTCTTCCTGTGGGACAGCTGAGGTAGTCCGCACTTGGGAGCTCAGAGGATGTAGTGTACTCGTAACACTGGCCCTCTTTTGTCCTTCACCCCTTACCACACCTCCCTCCCTAATTCACTACCCTGCTCTGTACTTGGGCTCCTGCTATCACCTCCCAAGTCTTTGTTGCAAGGTGTGACAAGTTGAGACAGGTAACATCAATCCTATTTCATAGCAGTAGAATATGAACCTACAGAGGTTAAGCAGCTTTCCTTATAGTGGGTCTTAGCTGGGTGATTAGCCTGGAGATATCTGGTTGTGTCTACCTGTGGGGCAATTCTACTGGCAACTGTGGGTGGAGCCTGGGGGACGCCAGTCAACACCTGCCATGGCTTGAATGTGCCCACAAAATTGTATGTTGGAAACTCAACCCCCAGGTTCTTATATTAATGGTACCTGGAGGTGGGGCCTTTGGGAGGTGATTAAGATGTGAGGAGGTCCAGAGGGTGGGACCCCATGATGGCATGATGGTTTATAAGAGGAGGAGACCCAAGGTGGCATGGTCACTCTGTCCCTCCAAGCTGTGACTCAGTGAGAAGCCCTTGCCATGCTCGTGGACTTCCAGCCTCAAGAACTGTGAGCCAAATAAGCTTCTGCTCCTTGTAAATATCTGATCTCTGGTATTGTGTTATAGCAACAGGAAGCGAAGACAGAAACGAACAGTACACAGGATGCCGATCACAGAGACTGGTCCAACTCCAGTGTATTTAGTGCTGAGGATTGCCCAGGATTGAGCCCTGGCCCAATGTCACAGAGGTTTTACGGTTGTTCCCGAACTGAAACCTAGAGGTACAAATATTAGCCTTAGAACGCTTAGGTGTCACTTGACACGGTTCAACTCAACAGAGCACAGTTCACTGTGCCCTGCAGTTTTATGAAGCCCAACTGAGCTTAGGGAGGGTGGTGTGGCTGAGAGTGCAGGGAGCAGAAAGATGGTGACCCAGGCCAAGTTAGTACAGTGCTACCTTTTCCCACTGGCTGACGGGTTCCATAAGAGTGTCCTTTTACTCTTTCTGTTGATCCCTGTGCCATAGTGTGAGGTTGGTGATGTGCCTGGGTTTCCACAGAGCCTGAGCCCGTCTGAGCTGTAGGTGTACAAGTGTGCAAGGTGGAAACACTGGTTTTTGGCCAGGAGGACATTTCTTAGTTCTGCCTTCACACCCAGTCTTGGACCTATGCACTCCTCCTTGCTGTGGTCTCTACTTCCCTGTTCTCCACTACCCTTCAGGCCTTAGCTGGAATATCACCCCACTCAGGGGGAGCATTGTACCCCAAGACTGGGCCCTTTTGCCTTTGAGATCCTGCGTTGCCACTTGTGATCCTCCCTTTCCCTCCACTGTCCTTTCCTACCTCCCACTCTCCCACCCTGCCTGGACAGAAAGATTGCCAGGGCAGGATCCATCTGTGTCCTCCTCCTCTCAGCACCCAGGCACAGGCATGCAGTGGCAAGTGACTGGGCAGAGATGGAACAGACAGGCCCCATGGGCCAAAGGAAGGCAACACAGAGATACTGCATATCCACCAGCTGTAGACTGCTCATTGCCCTGAGGCTACTACAGCGGCTCTGTCAAACCATCATGCACCCCCTACACCAATGATCCAGATTCGTGTGTGCGCTTGAGGGTGCACACACACATACCTGCACGTACACACATTCGTGCATTCACATGTTCATATACACGCATGCACCTGTGTGCACAATCATTCACTTACTCGTGCAGGTACCTCTGTGTAAATGTGCTTCAGGAAAGTCCCCTCTCTCACTGAGGAATTCAAGGTCTGGCAAACAATCTGGACATTTCTCCTTACAGGAACTGTCTCTTGACACTTTCAGTGTCCTATGTGATATGTGCAGTTTTGCCAGGTGACAACCAAATTTGCTGCGCAGAGGCCACACTGCCAAGCTCCTTGTCCCTTAAGTGATCATCCACCTCTGAGAGCCCTTCCTCCACCAGCCAGTGACTGAGAAAAGCCCCTCCGACTCCATCCCTCTGCCCAGTGGGTGTGGCAAAGCCTGCTCCACCAGGGAATGAGTGTGGCAGAAGTGACACTGGGATTTTAGAGACCAAGTCCTAAAAAGGCTGCTGTATCCATCCGCACCCTCAGACATGAACTCTTGGGAAGCTGGCTGGGGAGTCTGCAGTGCTGCAAGCAGTCCTGAGTATGAGTGTTAGAGTCACTGCCACCAAGCACAGGAGTGCAGCACCACCTCAGAAGGCAGTCCTACATTTAGTGCCAGGCAGATCAGACAAGTCACCCCAGTGGAACCATTCCCAAATGCCAAATTGTGAGCAATGGAAGGTGGCTGACTTATGGAGGTTGGGGGATGGGAGGTGTGTGTGCCGTGATGGGTCCGAGAGTCCCTGAATACCGGCTTGCAGACAGAATTCCAGCTCCCTACTCCCTGCAGAGTTTAGGGAGGTGTTATGTATGTACCTGTTCAAAATGTTTACTTTTTATTGAAGATGACTCTACTGAAAAATCTTGTAAGTGAAATGATTGGACACCTTCTGCGTTACTAAGAACCCACGCGAAGTAACAGACATGCAGAGCAACTGTCAGGCTCCTGTCTCCCTGACATGGTGGTCTGAGGCTTTTGCCTCTTCATCTTACAGATTAGCAAACTGAAACCATACTGCCGAGAAGTGGTGGAGCCAGGATTCAAGTCCGAACTCTGCTTCACTGTGCACTATCATGATCCAGGTATGAGAAGGGGACGCTAGTGGACAAACAGGGGAAGTGAGCATAATGAGCTGGGCACATTCAGTGCCTCGTCCCCCTTTGCTGGACAGGCCTGTGGTGTTGCAGGTGGGCCCCTTTCCTCACCTCTAGATGCCTGGGGGCACCACAGGTGGCTTCCAGCAGAGTGCTGCACAGGCTGCCAGTGACGTGTGACTTTAGGTGGACAGAGAACCGCAGGGCTTACGCTAGACTGTTTTTTATTCCAGGTGAGAAGACATGGGCGCTATTCATGGTGCTGCTGACTTTTCCCCTATGGCCCCGGCTCCCCAGACCACCTTGACTTCTGGACTCTCCTCCTAGCCACACTTCATGTTCCCAGAGTGCAAGCACACGTGTACTGTGAAACACCAACACTCCCGATCATGGCACAGATCTCTCTGCCTACCTGAAATGCACATCAGTCAAGACCCCATTCCTCACTGCCTGATTATGGACTGATGCAATACCCCATCTGGAGGGTCCTTCTCCACATGCACTCCTGAGTATTAGAGGCCTAAAGTTTAGCACACATCATAACAGCTCCTGCCCAACCTTGGGAAGCAGTACCTGCTGTTTCAAATTCTCTAATTTAGTGATTCACTGTCACCATCCACTGAGAACATCTCTGAATACATGACCATTTGGGAAAATGGTACTCTGGTAAACACCCTCTACCCATGGAGTGTCACTCTCTACTGTGGACAAAAGGTCCAGAGCTCTCTCCATGGAACTTTGGGGCCAACTAGCACATTGTAGTCTGGAACCAGTCAGGAAACCACGCCAGACTAGCCTGAAGTCCACTGCACTCCCAAGAGTCAAGGCCACAAAGACAGTGTCAAAGATCCTACTCCCAAGGGCAGCACAAACCCCACAGCTCAGCTTTTCAACATGACAAACTGCTGGCAGAGTTCAGATTCTTTTGTAAAACCACTCTGACTACAAAATCAGCTTGGTGGTTTAAAGAACATTACTATTCCAGACCACGGATGGCAAACATAATTATTGCCACACAAAAGGCATTCACACCAAACAAACCCTGTTTCTCTTGAATTAAAGACTGCCAGCCCCATTTTTCATTCTTGTCCTACAGTCAGTACTGCTGCTGTGCCACAGTGTGACTGCACATAGAGGGGACCTCACCAGCCTTCAGACTCCATTTCTTCCAGAAGAACCTGTACTCTGAGGCTGGGGATAAAGCCTCCCTGTCTTTTCCATCCACCATTGAAGAAAAACAATTTCTTCCCCGTGTGGGGCTCTGGTTTGACTAGTGACAGAAAGAGCTGGGATGCCTCACCAGATTCAACAAATCTTAAGGTCACAAATCTTGGACTACGGAGCATTTAATTTTTATTTCCTGGGGACACAACACAGGCACGGGCTACATCTGTCGCTGCTTGTGCCGGGGGTTGGTCTTACAGAGGATGAGCCAGCGCCCGCGCCTCTTCACGTAGTAGCAGTCCTTGCAGCGCTTCTTAATGACGCCCTTGGTCTTGAACTCCAGCGCGGGCTGCAGGCGCTGCTGGAGGCTGCGGGAGAGGGAGCAGCGAGCGCTCCTCGGTGCAGGGCCTCGCGCCCACAAGGGCCCTGGGCAGGAACGTGGAGAGGGCTCGGGGACTCGTGGCGACACGACTCAAGTGCAGGAGAGGGTGCACGAGGGACGCCACCATGCACCTTAGGAACAGAGGGGCCATGCTGCGGCCAGGGCTATGCAGGCAGGAGAGAACGCGCGGTCACGGCCTCTTCTGCACTCCCTCTACTCCCCTTTCCCCTGGGCTACTGAGGGGTCAGAGGGCGTCCCATTGCCCGGCTGCAGCACCAGATCCCGGGGCACCTGTCCACAACCGGCTGCCCTGGAGGGGATGGGGGTGGGATCGAGGACGGGTGTCCCTTTCCCGCACCCCAGACCCGGAGGCCGAGTGGCCGGTGGTACCGGCAGCGTGGCCCGCCTGGCTTCCTGGGCTGCGTCCTCACGTATCGCAGGCCTCCCTCGGGTCCCGGAGGGCATGGCTGGTCCCACTTCGCGAATGGACCCCGGGGAACTGAAGACCAGGGACCGGAACCGACCCGGGACCCCACCCGCGCTCGAGACCACCAACCCTTCCTACGCTCCTCCGCCCGCCACTCTCTGGGGGAAACTAAGATCCAGTCCTCGCGCCCCGTTCCTAGGAGATCTAGGACCCTCACCTGGAAAGGGTGAACCACAGCACGCACTGGCCCACTCCAGCGCCCGGATCTGCGCCTGCGCAGTGGGGCGGGGACGAACGCTGCCAGGAAGAAAGATGGCGACGGGTCACGTGGGGTCGCTTGCGTCCTCAGGCCCGGCGCAGAGACCGAGGCGCATGC